TGGTGAGTTGAGAAAGAGTAGTACTGTAGCATATCGTACTCTTGGCACAATTCGATCGTCTAGTACCGTTTCTAAAACACGATCGATTCTACTGTAATTGTTTAAATGCAAGTTTGCAGGCGCTCTCCAATGTTTGGACATGTTGACGCCGATGAATGGACAGATTAAATACGGTGAAACCGGTAAGACGAAAAATAAACAGGATAGGCAATAGCTAAAAATTTAGGCCTTCATCCGAGTGGCTCACGAGCAACACTGTCTTGTTCTCCCGGATATATGGCACAAGGTTGGTTATTCAAAAAAACCTAGAGATTACACAGCCAGATTTGAACTAATTTTTATAATACACTCAAAAAATTCCAGGTCAAAACGAAGCCACCTGCACAAACGGTGTCTGGGTTCCGGCGGCAATGGGTGAGTGTACTTGAAATTGTGAACGCACCCTTCCTGGTGCGCTAAACTCGTTATGGAAGCTGTCTAATTGTTCCCTTTCAGGAATGTGCTCAATGAGCTCCTCCGGAATGACACCAATAATCCCGCCATCGGCAGCAATGGCATAACTTAATAAATTTAGAATTTTAGCTTTGCGAAATAAATTATTAAAATGCAAAACAGGTCCTTTCCCAGACTTAAACCAGTTTATTTGCAAAACTATGTACATGATAACAAGTTGTAAAACATAACAAATTAAAAATATCACCAGAAAGTTTAGTCAGAAAAATATCACCTTTTGCATGGCCAATTTAATCCTCCAAAAAGGCGACATTCTCAAGAGTTTGAATCGATCCCTAGAGGAAAATATAATTTTTGTCTATAAATCTGCACCTACCTTGAGTTCGGTACAAAGTTTGCGCAAAAGTGGCATATATTGCTCAAACATTGCCTCGAAACCAGTTTTAAGCCTTCCAAAAATTTCATAGATGAAAATTAAAGTGAAGACTTACGCGAATAACTTTTTTTTGGCTTGCAAATCGACAAATGTAGAAGCATTTTTAATAGTTTCTTCTTGAGAAAGTCACTTCTAAAGTAAGAAAAAGAAAGATTGACTTATTTTCGAAGAACTTGCCGTTTCAAAAGAGTTGAAATCATTAAGAATGTTCTTGCGCAATTCGGGAATCAAATTCTTGTATTTCTTGATAACATTTGTCGAATCTCAACGAAGTTTCTCGAATGTTTCACTAGCCTTAAAAAGCTTTATGAGGATTTAAATTGAAAGTATAACAGACCTTTTTCGCCTAAAAGTCGAATTGCTCCATGCCCATGATGTTTCATATAAGCGCAAGTTGCACAAATCTAGATGTACAAGTAAAAGTTTACGTTCACACTTGTTACCTCAGAGCAGCATTTGAAGAAATGAAACATTTCGTCAATAATGCATTAAAAAATCTTTTTTGAAGCTCCATATTGCTATCGTACCTTATTGTTACACTCAGCGCAAGTAGGAGCCTTTAACATGGATTCAAATTGATTCATCCAGAAAATCTAAATCGGAAAAATAAAAGAACAAACGTAATTTCTACCATGGAATCAATCTTTAGATTTGTCATCGTCAGAATAGGTCTTCTCGCGACAACTCGGACAAGCGATTTTGTACTCAAAGTCGTCGTCATCAGTCGTTGATCCCGTTGATGCCCGCCCGTGCCTTCAGATAACACTCCGTATAAATGATGTGGTCGCAATTAAGGACAAATGATTTCTTTGTCTCAACACTGATTGAATCTAAAATAACTTGTATAAATACAGCTTTTTGGCACTTTTCCAGTACCAGGATGGAAGTACATCCGAAAAAAAAACGCTTATTGATAAACAAACAAGGAATGCACTCCCCTAATACTGGAAAAGCATAAAGCGTTTGGTTAAACTTACATTCATCGTGACAAATTGCGCATTCAGGGATTTTGAAATGGCTGGCTAAAATCGTATTGGTAAATTCAACAAAAAGAACCGACCTTCGAAAGCACATATCCGCCTTCCATTAGGGCAATTTTCAGAGCATTCTCCTGCGATAAAACATCTAAATCAAATATTTCGGAAAATAACAAACTTCTCAACAAAATAAACTTCACAAATCAAAGCCACCAATAAGAAAATATGCGAAATTGTCGTTATAAAAGAATTATCCATCACATATTGATGTTTTCTTTCGCCTTCATCCAATGATTTCTCCTGCCCGAAGCATTCATGGACACATTGCCATTCCGCATTTCAGACATCGTGGTGATCGCGGCTGATTGGCAACTCGAGCAACTAAAACACTATGATAATCCGATCATAATAGATTTTCAACTCGCTTTTTTTATAGAAGTGACCCGTTTTTCCAAGGAAACGCTGATCAATAAAGTCATATGGGTATTTATCATATGGGTTCATCATAAAGAGTGGCATAGATAACTATAAAAGTTACAATTTACACGAAGACCCTGCAAAACAAAGACTAGCAGAGGCTAAGGTAAGGTGTTCTTTAGGAAAATCTTATTCCTGTATGGTTTAAATTTGTAGTTATCCTAATAGTATTTATCCACCACTACGCCAATAGCAAGTTTTAATTTTATGGCAAAAGTCTCATGGTGGCTCAGAAATTCCTTGTATTTGGGAGTGAAAATCAAAAAACCAAAATTTCCCGACCTCAAAAAAAAATCATTTTTACACCATACCTACCACCATGAGCCACCGGAAATATTTTAAAAACTTGATCCGAAGTGGATTTTCTTTTTTGACACCCTGTAATTTTTAAAGTTCAATAGGCACAAGATCCGGTCAAGTTAAGCTAAAAGTGGTCAAAGTATCAAAAGCTTACACGGTTCCTTGCAGAGAATGCAGTTCAACGACTCGAATACCCTCATTTCTGGAAAGAAAACGCGATTATTAACATAGAAAGAAATAAGAAAGCAATGAACAAAGGTGAAAACTGTGCGCAAAAACTTTAAACGCCGAAATGGGGAAGCTGGGGCCGAAAAATGACCGAAGCTAGTCAGAAGTTGGTTTTATATAAGCGCATTGAGTCAGACTATGGTAGAAAGAGTACATTTTAGCATGAAAACTCAACGCTCAATTGCAGTTTTGTGTATAAGCTTGCAAAAATCACAATAACTTCTTGTTTTTCGCGATTCTAGGTATACATTCCGAGTGTCCCCCCTTGCCAGAGGCATTTTGCGTTTTTCTCGACGCACAATTTACCAATTTTGCTGTTTTTGGTTTCATTGGATAGAGGAGAGTTAGACGCATCGAATGAAAGCAAAAGCAGCAAAATTGGTAAATTGTGCGTCGAGAAAAAGGCAAAATGCCTCTGGCAAGGGGGGCACAGGATGGGGGGACACTCGGAATATATAATCCAACCGTAAATACTGTAATAGTACCCCACCCTCCTCGTACAGTCGCGTAGTGGCAAAAGTTTTTTAGTATTTCATTTTTGTCAGAGCGCCCGTACTTTCAAAAAATGTGTTTTTGGTATCAAAAAATAGCCCTGAATTTCAGCTATTTTTGATACCTAAGCGCGCATTGTAGCATAAACCAGTGTCGAGAAAAACTCGTTCAAAGCTACACTACGCAACACTCCACACCGTCATTATGGGGGTGCGGTACTATTACAGTATTTACGGTATTTGATTATTGAAGCTACCGTAAATACTGTAATAGTACCCCACCCCCCTCGTACAGTCGCGTAGTCGCAAAAGTTTTTTCGTATTTCATTTTTTCAAAGCGCCCGTACTTTCAAAAAATGCGTCTTTGGTATCAAAAAATAGCTGAAATTCAGGGCTATTTTTTTGATACCTAAGTACTTTTCTTTTTGTTAGCTGCTTTTTATATAGAATTAGAATCGTTTACAGTAAGCTATTGTTTAAATCTTAGGTCCAGTGTTTAAATCTAGTCCTTAAGCTCATCAATTAGCTTTGAAAATTGAGCAACTCAGCAATTGAGCAACTTTTTTAGTATTTCATTTTTGTCAGAGCGCCCGTACTTTCAAAAAATGCGTCTTTGGTATGACAAGATAGCCCTGAATTTCAGCTATTTTTTGATACCTAAGCGCGCATTGTAGCATAAATCAGTGTCGAGAAAAACACGTTCAAAGCTAGACTACACAACACTCCGCACCGTCATTATCGGGGTGGGGTACTATTACAGTATTTACGGTAGGGAAAATTTTCACATTTTCAAGGCTACGACAGTTTGCTAGAGTTGCCACGTTTTAGGAAACGAATATTTGCTTTCGATTTGCTTTGTTTTACTCTCTAACTTGTCTCTACTTCTGTAACATTTTTGTTTACCAAAACTTAGGCTCTACTAACTTTCAGAAGCTATTTCAGAAGCTATTTCAGAAATTTCCTTTCAATAAACCCTCATTTCAGAAATTATTATAGTGTTATTTAGTCATAATCGAATAAACAAAAAATGCAGAACGCTTTTCTTTTTCTAAAAAACCCTTTTCTTAAATGAGCATTTTTGAAATTTGATCAATTTTTGGAACTTAAACTTGCATTCGTCGATTTTGCAAGATTTCCTTACAAAACATATTGTTGGATGGCAATGGGGCATTACTTTTGTGGACCACTGTACAATCCCTTAAAAGAATACCATGATTCAACTTTCAATTATGAATTTAAATCCTATTTCTTCAGCTTAAATGCAAATTTTTCGCTAGAACTTTCTAAAATTTCAAAAGAAAACTCGTATAAACAAAAAAAGTCTAGACATTTCCCTTTAAAAATTCACAAATATTATTTGAAAATTGAGCGAAAAAACGAGAAATTGTGCTTAATCCCTTTGTGAAAACAGGTAAAATGTGAGAGATTTGAAAGTTTTTTTTTCTTTTTTTTTGTGAAATCTCCGAAATCGCACAGGAAAAGTGCAAAATTCGGTCAAAATTCTTATTTGGATTATGTGGGGTTATTGGAAATTTCTCCAAACTGAATATCATCAAAAAATGACGATTCTTTGTTATTCATAGAGCCATATAAAAGTGAAACAAATAAACAGAAAAAAAGCAAAAAGTTTTATAAAGAATGAATTGCATTTGGGTTACTGTATTCCTGATTGGCGCGATTCAGGCTTCACTGGAAGCTGTGGAGAGTACTGTGTCCACTACTTTATCCACTACTGTATCTACTACTGTATCCACTACACTACCCCCGATCGTTCCACCATTTGTACCGATTCGGAAAAGACAGGTTTGTGAAATTTTTCAGAATTTTTCAGTACTATCCTGAATATCTCAATAAGAATCTTTCCCTGAATATCTTTATATTCTGAATATTTTTTGAATATAGACCTGCTTAACGAGTCTGGGCAAAATTTTCAGACAGCCTGCCTTGCTCTTCGATTTTTTTACTGCTCAAAGCTTCTTTGAGCATGAAGCTCCAGTTCCCCCCGCAAGCCTTTATTTTAAGCTTCATTTTGATACTAAAAATAACTAGGTTCTGTTTTGTCATTCTTTAGATTTCGATCATTTTAGATCAAAAATTTTTCTAGACTTGTTAAGCTTATCGAGTCCGGTGAAAGATTGATCGAAATCTAAAGAATGACAAAACAGAACCTAGTCATGTTTAGTATCAAAAAGAAGCTTAAAATAAGGGCTTGCGGGGGGACTGGAGTTTTATGCTCGAAGGAGCTTTGAGCAGTAAAAAAATCGAAGAGCTAGGCAGACTGTCTGAAAATTTTGCCGAGATTCGTTAAGCAGATCTAGTTAAATGTAAACATTGAATGTTTTTCTTTTCTTTATTTGTTTAATTAAAAGTTTATTCAAAAATTATTGTAAAATCTTAAAAAATCTGTTAAAAATGAATGAAATTCGAATAAAATGAAAGTATAAAAGTTAGAAAATTAAAAAATAATTAAGAAATTTTAAAAAGATTACAAGAAAGTTAGAAAGAAGGGGAAGATGAAGAAGGGGAAGATGAAGAAGGGGAAGATGAAGAAGGGGAAGAGGAAGAAGGGAAAGAGGAAGAAGGGGAAGAGGAAGAAGGGGAAGAGGAAGAAGGGGAAGATGAAGGAGGGGAAGATGAAGGAGGGGAAGATGAAGGAGGGGAAGATGAAGGAGGGGAAGATGAAGAAGGGGAAGATGAAGAAGGGGAAGATGAAGGAGGGGAAGATGAAGGAGGGGAAGATGAAGGAGGGGAAGATGAAGAAGGGGAAGATGAAGAAGGGGAAGATGAAGGAGGGGAAGATGAAGGAGGGGAAGATGAAGGAGGGGAAGATGAAGAAGGGGAAGATGAAGAAGGGGAAGATGAAGGAGGGGAAGATGAAGGAGGGGAAGATGAAGAAGGGGAAGAGGAAGAAGGGAAAGAGGAAGAAGGGGAAGAGGAAGAAGGGGAAGAGGAAGAAGGGGAAGATGAAGGAGGGGAAGATGAAGGAGGGGAAGATGAAGGAGGGGAAGATGAAGAAGGGGAAGAGGAAGAAGGGAAAGAGGAAGAAGGGGAAGAGGAAGAAGGGGAAGAGGAAGAAGGGGAAGATGAAGGAGGGGAAGATGAAGGAGGGGAAGATGAAGGAGGGGAAGATGAAGATGGAGAAGAGAGAGATGAAAGCTAGAAAACGAATTTCGATTTGAATTTGCCTCAGAATTGAAAGTCTTGTCTTGATTTGAGAAAAATGAATTAAATAAAGGAAAAGAAAAGTTCTAGAGATTGGTTTCCTTTTCAATTACCCAATAAAGAAGAAAATTTCAATTGCTGATCCATCCGTCCCACCTCATTTCCCGTCTTCTCCACCGTTCCCCTTCTTCACTTTCTCAGCAATCTCTTTCTCTTGTTTCTTCATGTTTTTCCAAAACATTTCCATTTGTTTTTTCCTTTCCTCCATCTCTTTCTGAGCCTTATTATATTGAAAAGCTAAGCGCTGATGTGATTTGATCGATTCCCGCTCGATATTCACGAATTTCAAAAACTTTCTCAGCTTCTCATCCTCAAAAGCTTCCAATTGTTTCTTTTCGATCTTTTTCATAAGATGTTTTTTGTTTTCCTTTTCATAGCGCTCTCGTTGAAGTTGTGCTTCTTCTAGATGAAAGCTGCTTTCATTGATTTCCCGTTGACACTTTTGGAAACACTTCTCGGCATTATCTGCCTCAAGCTTCATCAATAAGGCTTCACTAAAAAGATTTATAATATTCAGATATTCAAGATACCGTAAACCCTACGTAGACGGGATACCGTAAACCATACGTAGACGGGATACCGTAAACCCTACGTCGACGGAATACCGTAAACCGTACGTAGACGGGATACCGTAACTACGGTATCCTGGTCTTGTCTTTTTCTGATCAACTACCGTCCCAGCTACCGTCCTAGCTACCGGCCCAGCTACCGTCCCAGCTACCGTAATCCAGCTAGATATAAGTTTATTCATCTCACAGCTGGCTGATATGGCTACGGTAGCAATTATAATCTATAAGAAGCAATAATCTAGCCGGGATTGAACCCTTAGCCTTTCGACTAAGAAACAGAGCTCTTAGCCAGTGGGCTATGGCGACCAGAATGGATAACTGACCTGAGCTCTTTTCCCGACATCCAGATGATCTTCTTGTCCTCAATGCGAGCGAACATTCCACAGAAAACTTTCTCCAACACTTTTTGCATCTCATTTTGCTGAAAATTGATGAGTTTTCGATCGATCGATGGAAACTTGCATAGCTTCTGCATAGCCCGGAAAAGCTAGCCGGGAAAGACAGACAAGATTACGGTAATAGACTTCAGTTCCGTCATGGTATCGATCGAAGCTTGCATAGCTTCATAGTCTAAACCCTGTCCCCTTTCTCTTTCTACCGTAATCTTGTCTCTATCTTTTATCTAATCTATTCACTTTTTTTCTGATGATAAAGGATATCAAAAGAAAGAAAAAGTGAATAGATTAGATAAAAATAGAGAAAAGATTACAGTGAAAAGAGAAAAAACACGGTTTAGAAACACTCACGTGCTTTATGCTTGCATGAACACAACCTTTCTGATGCACGGAGTTTTCCAGTGAGCCAGAAAGGATGTGTTTACCTATTTGAGCAAAAAGTACAAAGAGTTACCGTTGCCAGATGATCGAGGTGGACATAGGGCGGCAGTTTGCTTTGATCGTCGCAGAATTCATGGATCTTGACTTTATTGCAGTTGGCATCGAAAATGTTCAAGATGAGAATATTGGGTGATGTCGATGGTTTTCCATTTCCGTTCTTTGATTCTGTATTCACCATGATTCGCTCAATCGCCATCATCGGTCCTGAATTTTCCGAAATCTCGACGATTCCTTCTCTTTTTCCCGGATTCTCCATGTTTTCTCCTTTCACTTGTATCTAGAAATTCATAGAAATTAGCATCTTCTTTCATTTCAATATTGAAAACAATAGAAAACAGTTTACTTAAAAATAAATCAAGATCAAAGACTCCAAGCTACCGTAAGCTAGCCAGGAAAAGCTAGCCAGGAAAGACAGACAAGATTACGGTAATAGACTTCAGCTCCGTTATGGTATCGATCGAAGCTTGCATAGCTTCGTAGTCTAAACCCTGTCCCCTTTCTCTTTCTACCGTAATCTTGTCTCTATCTCTATCGCCGGGTACAATGGCCTTTCCTAAAGATGAGAATATTGGGTGATGTGGATGGTTTTAAAATTTTAAAATAAACAGTAAAATGTATGCTACAAAATTTTCAACTAAAGTACATTACGGTACGCTTCGAATTACGGTAAGAATAGGTTGGAGTACGGTAGCTTTTCTGCTTCTAAAACTTAAGAATACAAAAAGCTAAAGGTTTAAAGCTGACAAGATACAAATGAGGGAAAAATGGCAAGGCTTTCTTTCCTGAAAGGGAAAGAAAGGGGGAAGATGAAGAAGGGGAAGATGAGGAAGGGGAAGATGAGGAAGGGGAAGATGAGGAAGGGGAAGATGAGGAAGGGGAAGATGAGGAAGGGGAAGATGAGGAAGGGGAAGATGAGGAAGGGGAAGATGAGGAAGGGGAAGATGAGGAAGGGGAAGATGAGGAAGGGGAAGATCCGGAAGGGGAAGATGAGGAAGGGGAAGATGAGGAAGGGGAAGATGAGGAAGGGGAAGATGAGGAAGGGGAAGATGATGGAGGGGAAAATGAAGGAGGGGAAGATGAAAGAGGGGAAGATGAAAGAGGGGAAGATGAAGAAGGGGAAAGATTTGATTGGCGATATCAATGGATTTTGTTTGGCTTTGTTTTTGTCCCATCAATCGGGTTAGAGAAAGATTGAGAATTTGATGAAAACAAAGGAAAACAAATGAATTTCGCAATGTTGAAATTTTGGCTGTAAACAATTAAAAACGGTAGATGAAATGGAGAATTTCATAGAGTATGGGAAAGCTACAGTAACAAGGAAAAAAGCTACAGTAACAAGAAGCTAATCAACGTGAAACTTTAAACTTTGAACTTTAGAATTTAGTTTTTGAAACTTTTCCCTTAAGCTTTTTCAGTTTAGGTAGTGAATGGAGGTGTTCCTTGTCCGCCGATTGTCGTCGTGAATGGAGAAGCCAACTATATTCAAGGTGAAAAGCAGGAGAGATAAGAAAGCTAGATAGATCTAGCTTTCTAGATTCTAATTACAATCTAAAGATCATACTTTCGTTATTGCATATAATTCTACTGTTAATAGGCTTGATAATAGAAACAGATTGGTATCAATTTCAATTGGCGCCTGTAAACAAGTGAAAACAAAGTCAGAGCTGTTATTGTCTTGATTCAGGAGCTTTTTATAGCCAGATTATGTCAAGATCAAGTCAAGAACAAGTCAAGAACAAGTCTAACTATCCTGTAAGGCATGACTATTCTGACGTTGGTGTTGGTGTAGTGCATTGGTAAAGCTTAGTAAACGAGAGCTGAGTGCGAGGTGGTGGCGGATTCTAATCCCGGCACCGACCATAGTATTCCACCGATAAACGGCGTATTTAACTAACCTACTATCAATATTAAGAAAACAGGCTTTATGAAGACTGTAAACACGAGTATTTAGCTTCTCTAACCCAACAATATTCCTCGGGCACCTCGGCGACAATCACCTGTAACCTTGGTTTCATCATTAATGGAGCAGCGACGGTGAATTGTGCAAATGGGGGCTGGCTTCCATTACCCGGTATCACAACTAATAACATTTCTTTAGTCAATTATTTAAAACAAAAACCATTTTCAGGTACTTGCACGCCAACAACAGCGCCGGGTCTTCCCGGTCTTCCCGGTCTTCCCGGCTTGCCAGGCATTCCACCAATCGGTCTACCGGTGCCTGGTGGGTAAATTTACAAAATCCACCTTTTCTAGTGCATTAAATTTCGCATTTCAGGAGCTCTTCCTTGTGGCGATATTCTGGTGCCATTGAATGGAGCGGTCACCTACACTGGTGGCACGGGTACAGGTGAGAAAATCGATTCGGGTAGCTTCAGCCTTCTACCGTCACCCAGTCAATCCCAAAATCGACTACCGTATTTTCCCCTAATAGTAGTGCACCCTGAGCGTCACCTAAATTCCTCGAAATCTCGAAAAGCGCTTATCAAAATCGATGATCGATGAAAATGTAGCTAACGATCTTGTGGGGGATTAAAGTGTTGACCTTAGAAAGCTCTGGGAAAGCTTAGAAAGCTCTGGGGAAAGCTTAGAAAGCTTAGAAATATCTGGGAAAGCTTAGAAAGCTCTGGGGAAAGCTAAGAAAGCTCTGGGGCAAGCTTAGAAAGCTCTGGGGAAAGCTTAGAAAGCTCTGGGGAAAGCTAAGAAAGCTCTGGGGAAAGCTAAGAAAGCTCTGGGGCAAGCTTAGAAAGCTCTGGGGAAAGCTTAGAAAGCTCTGGGGAAAGCTTAGAAAGCTTAGAAAGATCTGGGAAAGCTTAGAAAGCTTAGAAAGCTTTGGGGAAAGCTTAGAAAGCTCTGGGAAGGGAAAGCTTAGAAACTGTAAAATCGTCATTAACTTGGCTCAAAAGAAAAAGCATAAGAAAACACAAAAGAAAACTCAAAAGAAAAGCTATCTAATTTTCTCAGCGCCCGGTGCACTCCATCCATCGGCTTCATCGGTGACTTTAACCTGTAATGGTGGCCATGTGCTTCAAGGAACAGCCACCTCAATCTGCACGAATGGACTCTGGAATCCACCGTTGCTCGGTAGGAATTAAAGGCTTTAGATATTCAACAAAAATATCAATCAATCTTTCAATTTCATTTTCAGGTAATTGTCCATAAAGTGTTCAAAGTTTTGACTCAACGAAAAACTCGAAATCTCATTTTTTTTCTTTTCTCATTTTTTTTGTGCCACTTTCTATACTTTTATATACGTAGAAATCTAGTTTTTTTAAATGTTTTTCAATAAATTTTACTTTTAAACACTTTTATTTCAATTGAATTGAATTGAATTGAGTCAATAAAGTCAATAAAGAATGAATTGACAAAATTCAATTCAATTTAATTCAATTCAAATCTTTTGTCTCAATGGTTTTAATCGAATCGGCAAAAATAACATTGCAATTGATCGATAGACAAGATAAATGATTAGAATGAAAAGGAAAATCACAAAGAAAAGACGAGGAACGAAGAGAACCTATCGATGTGTGATCGGAAAATGTAGCTGACGATGAGACCTTGTGGGGGGTTAGAGAGTTGAGCTTCTGCGAAAACTTAGAAACTGTAAAATAGTCGCGAACTCGGCTCGCCCGGATGCTACTATTAGAGAAAATAAGCATTTTTAGACTTTGGACCTCTATAAAAAATTTTCTACCAAACCAAATGAGCTGAAATTTGTTTTATGATATAAAATTCATATATTTTGCACATCTTTTATTTTGGTATCAAGTCGGTTTGTCTTTTAAAGATCCCTTAGTTCGTAAAATATCGTATTCTCTCTAATAGTAGTGCATCAAGAGAGTCGCCTGAATTCCTCGTAATCTCGAGAATCGCTTATCAGAACCTATCGATGTGCGGTCGGAAAATGTAGCTAACGATGAGATCTAGTGGGGGATTTGAGTGTTGAGCTTTTGCAAAAGCTTTGAAACCGTAAAATAGTCGCCAACTCGGCTCGGTAGTGCACCCTAAGCGTCGCCTAAATTCCTCGTAATCTCGGGAACCGCTTATCAGAACCTATCGATGTGCGGTCGGAAAATGTAGCTAACGATGAGATCTAGTGGGGGATTAGAGAGTTGAGCTTCTGCGAAAGCTTGGGAACTGTAAAATAGTCGCGAACTCGGCTCGCTCGGGTGCACTACTGTTAGAGAAAAAATTCAATAAATTTTTCTTTTAAACACTTTTATTTCAATTGAATGGAGTTGAATTCAATTTTATTTCAATTTAATTCAATCCAATTCAATTCAAATCTTTTGTCTCAATGGTTTTAAGCGAATCGGCAAAAATAACATTGCAATTGATCGATAGACAAGATAAATGATTAGAATGAAAAGGAAAATCACAAAGAAAAGACGAGGAACGAAGAGCAAATCGATTTGCGGAGTTTCATCCAATGACTAGAATTTGATCTTTATTGACTCAAATTTTGGCTCGAATTTGGCTCAAATTTTGTAAACAACTCCTTTCTAGTGCCTTTAATTCTTTAATTCTTTCTTTTTACATGTTGTACATCGATTTAACATCGATTTAAATGCGTTTTCTATCAGTTAGTGCACTATTTAACGTGAAAAAGTGAGCTGATTTCCAATTTGATCATGATGTATTGGGTTGATGGAAAAGTCCTTTCCGATTTTTTGGGAGAGTACCTTAAATTTGTCCAATTTTGACGTTTTATAGCTCATCCTAAAGCTGAATTCAAGACGAATCGATTGGTAAAAGCCGTTTTGAGATATCTCTTTTCTAAAAGCTTTTACAGCTATTTTAGTGAAGGGAAATATTGTCACCGGTGGAAGTCGAACCAGCGACCCTCAGATCAATAGCCTTTGCGCCGCTTTTCGCGTTTTTCCTTCGTTTTTCTCGTTTTTTTTTTATGTACCCTAAAATTTACCATAATAACTTACGTTTACGCTTACGAAAACAAGAAAACGAAGGAAAAAACGCGAAAAGCGGCGGAAAGGCTATTGATCTGAGGGTCGCTGGTTCGACTTCCACCGGTGACAATATTTTTCAAAAATTTTTGCTAAGATTCTGAGAATGCGTGTCTAGGGGTTATTTTTGACGCTGATCACGAAACAAATGTTTTTAGCCTAGGTTTCTGCACGGAAAACTAACGAAACGTGAAAACAGCCATTTTTTGGCTCTGCCGCCCTTCACTAAAATAGCTGTAAAAGCTTTTAGAAAAGAGATATCTCGCAAACGGTTTTTACCAATCGATCCGTCTTGAATTCAGCTTTAGGATGAGCTATAAAACGTCAAAATTCGACAAATTTAAGGTACTCTCCCAAAAAATCGGAAAGGACTTTTCCATCAACCCAATACAAAAGATTGAAAGTTAAGCCGGATTAAGTATGCTTTAGAGTAGTTGTTTGAGTTGATACTTTTTTACTTTTTCCTTTACTTTATTTCTAGTTAAGATTTTTTACTTAAAACACACTCCTTCCAATTTAGTTTAGATCTTTACGATTAACGGCGCAAGGTAGTGATTATCAGCAAAGGCCAATTTTTCCCCCAACTTGCTGCTCATTTTTAAGCACTTTAAACTCATCAGATCAGAAATTTTTAATAAGATTTAGATAGCTTAGAACGTTAACTTTTAGAAACTATTTGTTTTATCAAAAGTTATTAACATAAACCTATCTAAAATCGGGTTGCAAAATGGACAAAAACTCGGCCTCGCCGATAGTCGCTACCCCCGCCATTAACCGTAAAGTGCTTGTGAAATCAAGAAATTAAACGATCAAGTGAACCAAAAAGAATGCGTTTACAAAGTTTCGCACAAAGTACACAATAGTTTACCTGATTTTCCACTTCAGTTTCCGTTTTAATCGGCCAAGAAATCAATGAGATCGTTATAATCGCCGCTAGTAGATTTAATCCAACAATTGATGGCCTAAACTTGTTAATAATGTAAGAATTGATGGTAGATTTTAATGAGAGATCTTAATGAAAGATTTTAGTGAGAGATTTTAGTGAGAGATCTTAATGAAAGATCTTAATGAAAGATTTTAATGAAAGATCGTAATGAAAGAACTTAATGATAGATCTTAATGAAAGATTTTAGTGAGAGATCTTAATGAAAGAACTTAATGAAAGATCGTAATGAAAAATCGTAATGAAAGATCGTAATGAAAGATCGTAATGAAAGATCTCAACGAAAGAACTTAATGAAAGAACTTAATGAAAGATCTTAATGAGAGATCTTAATGAAAGATTTTAGTGAGAGATTTTAGTGAGAGATCTTAATGAAAGATCTTAATGAAAGATCTTAATGAAAGATTTTAATGAAAGATCGTAATGAAAGATCTCAATGAAAGAACTTAATGAAAGATTTTAATGAAAGATCTTAATAACAATTTTTGAATCTGTGCTCTTACATTCCCTTTGTTCTCCCAGCGACAATGCATCCGAATATCGTTAAACACCATAAAGTGCTCAAAATCACTACACCAAAACCTACGCCAAAAACAAGCATTGCAGGAGATTAAGAATTTGCATTTAATAAATTAATACTTTTAAGTCAAAAAGAATAGAGAATGAATCTTTTAGCGTAACCATGGCAACTGTTGTCCCAGGATCGCCAATAATCTGTGTAGCCAATATGAAAGCCAATATGAAAGCCAATATGAAAACTTAACTTGAAAATGTTTCAAATTACTTAAATTTTGTTATAAATTTTTTTATATTTACATTTTCTAGAACATTTTAAACCTAATTGAGTGAGAAGAATGAAGGAAATGAAAAGTTTTGTAAAGGAAAGCACGATAAAGATTGTTTTAATAAAATCGTGCTATGTTTTCATTTCATAATAAGTTTCTTATACTTTTTCTATGTTAAAATTATAAACAAATTCTTGTTTAAACTACCGTATTTTCTCTAATAGTATTGCTCTCTAAGCTTCCCCTAAATTCCTCGTAATCTCGAGAATCGCTTATCAGAACCTATCGGTGTGAGGTCGGAAAATGTAGCTGACGATGAGATCTAGTGGGCGATTTGAGTGTTGAGCTTCTGCGAAAACTTAGAAACTGTAAAATAGTCACCAACTCGGCTCGCCCGGGTGCACTACTATTAGAGAGAATACGGTATGTAGTTGGCTAGATGACCGAATGGTTAGGAGTCTTGTCTCTTAAGCGAAAGGTCAAGGGTTCAATACTAGCAAAATAAAAAGGTTTCTTTTTTCCTGGGTTTTTTTCTTTCGCAACATTTAGGGTAATAGGGATAACAGCCGGATTTTTTATTTGTAAGAAAACTTATTTTCGCCTTATACCGTGATCGATGTGCCCCCACCCCAAGCAAAGAAAAATTACTATGGGTGGGCGGGGGGCAATAGAGGAAAGGAACCAAATTGTGTGTTTAAACCTTTGTGTCTTGTTTTGTTAATTCTTTGTTTGTATCACATTATTGGTTTTCAATAAATCGATTTTCTTTATCATAAATCAAACTTTCATTACTTTATAAGAAATAAGCTTTTTCTTGAGTGTTCAGTGCTTTCATTTGAATCATCATTCGTTTGATAGTATAACTTTTAAATTCAAATGACAAAACCAAAAATTTAGACTAATTACAGTAGCCTTGAACTAAATGGATTTTAAATGATTTAGACTTAAATTTCTATTCATCTGAATTGCTTTACTTTAAGATATCTTTTGAATTCAAATGATGGAGCTTAATAAAAAGCTTTGGATCAGTTACAACCTACTGTAAATGGATTTTAAATCATTTAGACTTGAATTTCTATTCATCTGAATCGCTTTACTTTAAGATATCTTTTGATTTCAAATGATGGAGCTTAATAATAAGCTTTGGATCAGTTACAACCTACTGTAAATGGATTTTAAATGATTTAGACTTGAATTTCTATTCATCTGAATCGCTTTACTTTAAGATATCTTTTGATTTCAAATGATGGAGCTCAATAATAAGCCTTGGATCAGCTACAGCCTATTGTAAAGCCTACTGTAGCTAATGCATCTTTGTAGGGGCACCACATGCATTCGAGAGGCTGTGTGTGCTGTTGGGGATTGGTCGGATTGATGAAGTTTTTCGAATGATTAACCCAATTGAAATTTTAGTTTGGACTGTCAGCCAATTGACGATAGCTATATTTTCATATTCCTATATTCCTATATTCCTATAGCTATATTCCCATAGCTATATTCCAACCATCCGAAACAATTGTGTAAACCAGCAGTGCTTTTCGAATTCACCGATTAGAGTTGAAGCTTTGAGATCGGGAAGCAAAACTGTAAATGGATTTTAAATCATTTAGCCTTAAATCTACACTCACTGGATAGCGTGTGCTTGTCGTTTACGCTGCGGATCATCGACCGTATCCCGCTCGGAAACGCGGCGCACTGCGTCGCGTCTTGGCGCTGTCTCGAATCGATTCGGCCTCTTTCCCCGCTTCTTTCCCCCACATTCACTTCCTCATATTTCTTTTTATTATTTTAAAAGCTGAACAAATTTTCTCTAATCGATTCCTCCTCTTTCCCCGCTTCTTTAACACATTTAGATCCACATTTAGATCTTTTTTTAAATGCCAGATAGACTTTTGAATTTTTTTTACATTTTTTTATTGTATTCATTTCCTTAACAACTTCAATTTTTATTTCAAAACCTTTCAGAACTAATTTCTCAAGAATGTCTGACGGAAAAGTGTATGTGGGCGGACTTCCGCACGATGCAACTTCTCAAGAGGTAAAGAAAAGTTTATGTGGATAGTTTTCTAAGAAAATTGAAATCCCAAAGCTTTTAGAGAGCTTGAAAAGTAATTGGATTTTTGATTGGATGAGATTTGGATTGAAATTTGTTTATTTCATTCATTTAGATATAGAATTCGATAATAATTTCTTATTTTCTAGATTGAGGACGCTTTCTATCGCTATGGCCGCATCAGAAAAGTTTGGGTGGCGCGTCGCCCGCCGGGTTTCGCTTTTGTTGAGTTCGAGGATCTTCGTGATGCCGAGGACGCGGTTAGGGCAATGGATGGAGCGTGAGTTTATTCTAAAACATTTCATATCAATTCAGTAGATTTGGCTTTGATTTATATTTCGTTAATTGTCGATTCCTTTTTTTTGCCGTTGGCAATTTCTGGTTTTTCATGTTTTTCTCAGCACCAATCCTTCGACTTTGACTCTTTTAACTATCATTCGATTCAGAATAAAATTCTGCGTCGAATGATACCAAAATGAACTCAAAATATAATATTCATGCAAAGTTATGAGGCAAAGGTTAAGCGCCGCCCATAATGGACGTGGTTTAGGTTCTTAAGCCAATAACTCTGCATGGGTATTATATTTTGAGTTCATTTTGGTATCATTCGACGCAGAATTTTATTCTGAATCGAACGATAGTCAAAAGAGTCAAAGTCGAAGGATTGGTGCTGAGAAAAACAGGAAAAACCTTACCGATGCCGAAGAAAGATGTGGAGCTTCAATTCACAGCCTTAATAATGGAATTAATCAAGAATTCCTTGGATAGCTCCAATCAAGTCTAAAGAATTCCTTGCTTTTAGTCGAATCTGCGGTGTGCGTGCCCGTGTCGAGCTCTCACATGGTCGTGGACGTCCCGGCGGCGGTGGTGGTGGTGGTGGTGGTGGTGGAGGTGGACGACGAGATGGAGGACGAGATGGAGGACGAGATCATGGATCGTCTCGTCGCAGGTACAACAATTTAAACAGGAGAAGCACGGGTGCAAGTGATTGTACAGAGCAAAAGTGTTGATGGCTTTCCTTTGCAAGGATTGCAGGTAGAGCTCGGATAACTTTTGCAAACCGTACAATCACCGCCCACTAGATGTTGTGAGCATTGAGAGCATTGGCGCGACATTCTCGATAGGCATAAGAACGAAATAATCGAGCTGATTTTGCAGCCGCTTCATTCATCTCCCCAACTCCCACTCTTCCTCCTCCTCCTCCTCTTGCAGCTCATCGATCGCCCAAACTGCCAGCTGCGCAAATCGGCCACACACTTTCCATGAACTAGTCACATAGGCCTAGATTGAGTTGTTAGAGTTTTAAGTTGAGAATTTAGCTTTAGGGATTTGGATTGGATCGGTTAAGCTGAATGTATTTTACAGAATTGTCAATTTAGTACTCGAGTTCGTCGAATATATGTATTGAAAAGGTTGGTCGCTAACGACAGAGCGCCAAAACGACAGAGAACTGATTTTAAGTTGAGATTCCCTGGGATCGGCGGGTCTGATCGGTATCACTCTAATGACTCTAGCAAGGAAGGAAACAAGTAAATAAGTCTAAGTACTGATTTTAAAACTTGTAAGTGCTGACAATGAGATAAGGCCCTATAGTTAACTCTCTTTTCGAGTAAGGGAGATCAAGGATCGGCACCGGGATTCGAACCCGCCGGCTGGCTCTAGCTTTCGCTTACTGGGCGAGCACTCTACCAATAAGCTACAGAGCGCGAGAGTAGTTAACTCCCTCTGAAGGCAAGGGGTGGTCAAGTGGGCTGTGGTGTAATGGTTAGCACAGTCGGCTAGTAAGCGAATGGTCGGGGGTTCGAGTCCGGGTGACGCGCAGGTTTTTGTTTCGCCAGTTTTTGATCTAGTTCCAACTGTCGAACACGTAGAGGATTAAAGGTTCGCATCTGTCGCCAGTTGGAACAGGTGCAAAGCTTTAAACTTCTACGTCGTCGCCAGTTGGAACTAGATCAAAAACTAGCGAAACAGAAAACCTGGGCACCACCGGGACTCGAACCCGCGATCATTCGCTTACTAGCCGACTGTGCTAGCCATTACACCACAACGCACTTGACCACCCTCCCTTTAGAGAGAGTTAACTACTCTCGCGCTCTGTAGCTCATTGGTAGAGTGCTCGCCCAGTAAGCGAAAGCTAGAGCCAGCCGACGGGTTCGAATCCCGGTGCCGATCATGTTAAGTCCCAAAGGACAAACGTCCAACATCAACACTAGAGACCTTAGCATTCATGGAAAGTGTGCACGGTTCGGGTTTGTCGTCCCATCCTTCTGTTCGTCCCCACTACTGTCGGGCAACAATCCTCGCAATCTTCGCCGCTTCTCACCCCACTCACCCAACCATTCATCGCAAAAAGTGTTCTCCACCTCTCCGCGCTTCTTCCTCATCTCCTCCTCCTCTCAATTCTCTTCCCCTCCACACAAATGAATCCACCTTTCTCATGCTCTCCTCCAAATTTTTCAACCCAACCCTTCTCGTCAGGTTTGTCCAAATCAAGGGATTTTTCACCTTTGATAAGATTTGGACTTATCATGGAGCAAGCTTCATAATCGTTTAAAACAAAAAAAACTGTTTTCAGTTTTGCTAAACGATTGTGAGAAGTTTTTCAAGCTTTCTTTAACCAAATCGATCCATTTGCAGATCTCGTACTCGCTCTCGTTCTCCACGTCGATCACGCAGTCGTTCACGCACTCGTAGCCGCTCTCCACCACCAAAGAAAGGAGGATCGCCACCGGAGCGTCGCAGCAAGTAAGATCTGATGAGAATTCAATAGAAATAGAATACAAAATACTTTGTGACAAACTAAAGTACTTTTCTTTTTGTTAGCTGATTTGTATATAGAATTAGAATCGAGTTACAGTAAGCTATTGATTAAATCTTAGGTTCAGCGTTTAACTCTAGGCCTTAAGCTCTAGGCCTTAAGCTCTAGGCCTTAAGCTCTAGGCCTTAAGCTCTAGGCCTTAAGCTCTAGGTCTTAAGCTCTAGGTCTTAAGCTCTAGGCCTTAAGCTCTAGGTCTTAAGCTCTAGGTCTTAAGCTCTAGGCCTTAAGCTCTAGGCCTTAAGCTCATCAATTAGCTTTGAAAGTTGAGCAATTCAACAATCAAATACATCTTTTAATACCCTAGTCAAAAGGGAATAACTTTTAAATAAAACTCTAAATGATTTAAAAAAGAAAAGCTCGTCTTTAAATGACATTCTACTTAGAGAGAAATGTTCTGATGAAGAAATCATGTACGTGAATTGCAATGATATCAAAGAGAAAGATACAGAAAAAGTTGAACCAATAAAAGTCTTTTTATAATCATTTCTAACATTGATGTCGCAAAAAAAAGCACTCTCATTTTAAGAAAATTTTCATTTTCGACATCAATCGTCTGAAAAATTTGAGTTAAAGGCAAGATTTATTACCGTAATTCGTGTCTATTTTTATTCAATCTATTCACTTTTTATCTGATTTGGTGCCAAAGAATGTTAAAAGATAGAAAAAGTGAATACCGTATTTCCTCTGCACCCGGGCGAGCCGAGTTGGTGGTTATTTTACAGTTTCCAATTTTTCCCAGAAGCTCAACCTTCTAATTCCCCAGTAGATCTCATCATCAGCTACACTTTTCAACCCCACATCGATAGGTTTTGATAAGCGGTTCTCGAGATTACGAGGAATTTAGGCGACTACTAGAGTGACTATCAGGGTGCACTACTATTAGAGAGAATAAGGTAGATGAATTAACAATTGGCTGTGATTGAGTTCAAATGGTCGGGATCTTGTTTGAACAATCATCAAGCAAAGTATAATACCGTATTTTTCTAATAGTAGTGCACCCGGGCGAGCCGAGTTGGTCACTATTTTACGGTTCCCAAGCTTTTGCAAAAGCTCAACCCTCTAATCCCCCACTAGATCTCATCGTCAGCTACATTTTCCGACCTCACATCGATAGGTTCTGATAAGCGATTCTCGAGATTACGAGGAATTTAGGCGACTCTCTGGGTGCACTACTATTAGAGAAAATACGGTAGATTGAATAAAAAAATAGACAAGATTACGGTAGAATGAGAAAGCAGACATTAGAAAACGAATTGAGAGAAAAGGATCATTCTTAGGGACTACAGGCTTTTTTCCTAAGCAATTACTGTATCTAAGGGATTTTAGGAAACATATTGATTAAAAGGGTCATTCTATGAACTACGGGCCTTTTCCCTAAACGATTACTGTATCTAAGGGATAGGAAACAGATTGATAAAAGGGTCATTCTATGAACTACGGGCCTCCTAAACGATTACTGTATCTAAGGGATATTTTAGGAAACAGATTGATAAAAGGGTCATTCTATGAACTACGGGCCTTTTCCCAAACGATTACTGTATCTAAGGGATATTTTAGGAAACAGATTGATTAAAAGGGTCATTCTATGAACTACGGGCCTTTTCCCTAAACGATTACTGTATCTAAGGGATATTTTAGGAAACAGATTGATTAAAAGGGTCATTCTATGAACTACGGGCCTTTTCCCTAAACGATTACTGTATCTAAGGGATATTTTAGGAGACAGATTGATTAAAAGGATCATTCTTAGGGACTACGATTCTTTGGGATTCTTAGGGACTCTTAGGGACTTTTTTCCTAAGCAGTTACTGTAAATAATGCACATTGAAAACAGACTACTCAATAGGAACAAAGGTTACAATAAATTTGCATATTAAAGTCAAATATCTCGATCTGAATGCATTATTTCCTTCATTTTCAGCTCTCGCTCTCGTTCTCGCTCACATAGCTGAAGAAAATGGAACAAAATTGGAACATTGGAACATTGGAACATTGAAAACACTTATTTATTGAATATTTCTTGTAAAATTTCCCTTTTCGATTCAAAATTCCGGTAGCTATTTTTATTTTTTGTTTTAACTTTAAGAAATTCTTTTTTTTCATTTATTTCATTGTTTGCTATTTGTCCAAAAACAACTTTTCTTCATTTAACTTAAAAAAAACAAACGATTTTTGTTCAGATCTCTTGAATAAATTGTATTTGGAAGTAGCATTTCTATAATAATTAGCAAAAAAAACAACTACAAGATTAAGGTAAGACTGATGTTGATCTAGAGTCAGATCGAGTACAGAGTACAGTTGAAAAGTAGCTCAGATTAAGCTATAGGAGATTCATTACAAGTTGCTAAAAAGGGGATTGAGAGATTGAGAATCAAACCGACAAATGAAACAGCTCGAGTACAGTCTATACTTCTATACTTTTTAGAAAACTCGATTGGTTTGATGAAAACACTTACAAGGGGATGCGATAAAATGGTGGTAACAGATTTTGACGCCGTTGAGATGCAAACGCCTATCGGACATCTCCTTACAATGAGGTTTATCACAATTTGCAAAGCCTATATCGAAACAAACTTGAATCGGGGTTTCGAAAGGAAGTGGGCGAACTTGGTGAAGACCTGAATCAAATCATGCATAAGGACGAAAATCTATGAAGCAATGAGCCGAAAATTGTAGTATGTAGTAAATAAATAGACTTTTAATTATTGATAGTAAGCACTTTAGTAACCATAAAATGGTTTTCCCTTATTTTTTAAAAGAAAACAAAAGTCTTTCCAGGAGTGGTTCCGAACCGGCAAAAAAGGAAAAGCAAGATTGGGTACGCGCAATTACAACGGAAAAGCGAAATTTGATGGTTACTTTGATGGCTTTATGCCAAATCTCTTCGTTGTGCACCAATTGAAAATCAGATCGATAAATGACACAGCTTTAGTCGGTACCATTTTAAAATCCGTTTACAATCGATATGAAATCTTGGATACGGTCAGGATACGAAGTCCAAAAGTCCAAAAGTCCAAAAGTCCAAAAGTCCAAGAAGCCAATTATCCCTTTTCCAATCCCTTTTCCAATCCCTTTTCCAATCCCTTTTCCAATCCCTTTTCCAATCCCTTTTCCCATCCCTTTTCCAATCCCTTTTCCAATTATCCAATTATCCCCAATACAATTTTTACTTGATAATTTGTAATTGTTTAGTCTAAATGTTGTAAAAGTTCATTGAAAATGAGGATTACGGTAGCCTATCCACGAAGTTGAGAACAATTTACCCTTGAAATCAACTCGCTAATCGGTGATGAGCAAACAGAAAAGACTGATAAAGAAAAAGCGAGACTGGAAATGAGTGGGGGTGGGAGATTCCCATGAAGAAAGAATGAAAACTGTAAATGATGGAAAGCCAAAGTCAATATTCAAATTGGAAACAGATGATAGCAAGTGATAAACTCTGATTTCCTCTTTTTCAATTCGTTTTTTTCATTTCAAAACTTTTAAATCCATTTATGTTTACTTTGTGTTTTTCCTCTGTCGATCCGATTCTTAACGTTATTGCTCAGGATTGCACGAATGTTTTAAACACCGATTTTAAACACCGATCTGCTCCCATTCTTGGCTCAGAATCCCCAAGTAAATTACGTAAAACGTTAATGCTCAGGATTGCTCATGGTCAAGAAATGGAAACTTGATGGTCCTAATGGAGAGATCTACGAAAGGATTCGATTTATTGTAGGACAAGGCACTTTAGAGGAGGTATTATAATACTGGGTTTTGGGCTGGCTTTTGTGCTGACGGACAAGTCGATTTGGTAGATCGTTTCTAATCGAATGACTGGATTACACGAATGTTTTAGACACCGATCTGCTCCCAATTGGCTTTTTGGCTCAGAATCCCCAAGTAAATCACGATTTCCAGCAGGAAAATGCTAGCATTCGTAAAGCCAATCATACCAAGAAATGGATGAAACAAAAAAAAAGGGAGGCCGCTTTTTTTTTTCTCAAAAAAAAAAGGGGGAAAGGGTGTAGAAAAGAAATGGATGACGGCTAATGGATTGATTTCGATGAATTGGCTAAGTCGATCGCTTGAGCTCAACCTCATTGAGAACTTTTGGGGCATCTTAGTTTGGCAAGTTTACAAAAACCGACGCCAGTTTGCTAGTAGAAGCCCTTTATGTTGGTTTTATAACGTTATAATGCTTCAAGTTTTCAAGCTACCTCGAAATCGAGCTTCGCAGAAGAAAAAGAAGAAAAACGATTATAGAAAGGAGACAGTCACGAACTCTGCATTTTGGGCAGTTCAACGTTGACAAGACTCGTTCTTTCCTTCCACTCACCGATTTGTGTGTTGTGGGAGGATTGGTTGCAAACCGACCCCAGTTTTTATCTGTTGCTGATCTTAAATTCGCTATTCGGCTTGCTTGAAACAATTTGGATTAAAACGTTTTACAAAACCACATTTCTTCAATGCCAAAACGATAATCCAGTTCAAGAAAATCGGTGCCAACTTTAAGCAAATGAAGGCTGATCCAACTCGGGTGTCATTTCACCTTGTTTACATGGAAATGAAAAATCCAATCAAGCTCTATTTGGTATTATTTGAAAGGTTGAAATGTGCTCTATAAAATGAAATAAAAAGTTAAAGAACAAAATTATCTCTGGAAAAAGTGATAGCCCTTGAAAGAGTGATTCAAAACTCGAGTGTCGTTTCACCATTTTTCAATTCTTTTTTTCATTTCAAAAAACTTTTAAATCCATTTATGTTTACTTTGTGTTTTTCCTCTGTCAATCAGATTCTTAACTTTATTGCCGATAAAAATGTTGCCGATACTTTCAGCTATACGTTATTGCCGATACTTTCAGCTAATTCCTAAATTGCGCTTATTTCTATCGTATTTATGATGTTAGTTTACTATCAATTAACCCAATTTTTGGTATCATTCGATGCCGAATCACAAGGCAAAGTCAATGAAATAAAAGTTAAGCTAATCGCATGGAAGCTGCCGGTAAAACTAGTCGATCTATTGATAGTAGTGATCTTGTGGGATAGCTGAATGACAGTAGCTCATCGATTTTGTCATTTAGAATGCGGTTACAAAGCTATTGATTAAATCTTGGGTATGGCAGGTTGTCCAGGATTTAGGCACAGGGTACGGTAGGTAATCTAAGCCTTAGGCTCATCAATTAGATTCAAAATTGAGCCAAAATTGAGCCAAAATAGAACAAAAATTGAGCCAAAAACTGAATGACAGTAGCTGATCGTTTTTGCCATTTAGAATCCGGTTACAGTAAGCTATTGATTAAATCTTAGATATGGCAGGTTGTCCAGTATTTAGGCTCAAGGTACGGTAGCTTTAAGCTCATAGGTTAGCTTCAAAATTGAGCCAAAATTGATCCAAAATTGAGCCAAAAACTGAATGACAGTAGCTGATCAATTTTGTCATTTAGAATCGGGTTACAGTAAGCTATTGATTAAATCTTAGCTGCGTTAGGTTGTCCATGATTTAAGCACAGGGTACGGTAGGTAATCTAGCCTCAATTTTGGCTCAATTTTGAATCCAACTGATGAGCATCAGTTAGATTCAAAATTGAGCCAAAATAGAACAAAAATAGAGCAAAAATAGAGCCAAAATAGAGCCAAAATAGCTTTCCAGAAAGCAAAACCAGGCTTATTTTGCGTAGCATGTATTTGATTTAAAATTGCACTAAAGAAAAAGGGAAATTTGATAAACCTGGGTAAAGCCGTGGGCTTTTGAGTTGGATTTTCTTTGAATCAAGTCGCTAGCAAATCTTCCTACCGTAGTCAGCTCACAAAACAACAATCGCAGCAATCCTTTTGTCCAAATCTCTTTCTTTCCCTTTTACCCTTTCTCAAGAACGATTTCCGAAAGCCAATTTCACGCATTTCGTTTCTCATAAAAAGGCGACCGCGCGGCGCCTTTTCCCCACTTTTTACCGCAGTTTTTCTACACCAATTCCTTTTTTTGAGTTCTTTTTTTCTTGGTTGAGTGACCACCTGTTCATCGTTCCTTTCGAGGACATCTCAATCAGAATTTTTCTAGGAGTTTCCGGAGTTTTGAAATTGTTTTTAGGCTTTTAATAGCTATAACTTTTCTTCTTGTATTCGCGTACCTTGTTTTTCATGTTGATTTACATGATTTTGAAAGTTTTGAGAACAAATTTCCTTGAAAACAAAACAATCTCCTTGAAACTTTTAGCTACTCCACCAAAATATGTGAAATGTGTTGCCGACTGCTCACTTCTTTTCTCTATTTCTTTCTTTTTCTTCATTTGGTTTACTCGTCGATCGATTTCGAAACCGAAGAAAATCGATATGGATTGTCGATTCCAAAAGATGCGAAACATCGACCGGAAGTTTTGAATCGAGTGGATGAGTTGAGGGATCAGGTAGAGGACTGGATGAGTTGAGGGATCAGGTAGAGGACTGGATGAGTTGAGGGATCAGGTAGAGGACTGGATGAGTTGAGGGATCAGGTAGAGGACTGGATGAGTTGAGGGATCAGGTAGAGGACTGGATGAGTTGAGGGATCAGGTAGATGACTGGATGAGTTGAGGGATCAGGTAGAGGACTGGATGAGTTGAGGGATCAGGTAGAGGACTGGATGAGTTGAGGGATCAGGTAGAGGACTGGACAATGAAATATCATGTTTAAAAAACGATCGTCACTTTCGCGCGTCTGTAACTCCGTTGTCTTTGAGTTTAAACTATTAGTGTTATACATTTTCTGAAAGCTCTTTTCAAGGGCTACACAATGGTAATTATTGATATTTAGAAATACGGTAAAGACAAGGGAGTTAGAGACGCGCGAAAGTGACGATCGTTTTTCAAATCTAATATTTCATTGTCCAGTAGTGTAGTTTACGGTAGTTTTTCAAATTATTCTAGAGTAAACTAGTTTTCTAGTTGTCTAGACTAAACTCTAGTTGTCTGAGCTTCTGAACTTAAAATGAAAATCTAATCAACTGTAGTTTGCGAATAATCTAGCCGGGATTGAGGCCTTGATCTCTCGACTAAAATAGGCTCTTAGCCAGCTTTATATAGGCTCTTAGCCAGCTTTATATAGGCTCTTAGCCAGCTCTTAGCCAGCCACAAGCTTTTTTTGAGCAGGGCAATTAGATTCCCTAATTGATCTCTGTTCAGGGATCATTGCTTTTCGGTGATGTGCCAGAGAATCGGTGTTTCTGCAGTTACGGGCACGAGGCGGGGGTTTGCGATCGAAACGAAACGTGCATCAAGCACCCATTGGCCGCCTGTTATCACGCGATCGAATTGGTGAGTTATAGTGGCGAGCGAGCGAAAAGTTTTGCATTGCATTAATCTTCATTTTTTGTGTACATTGGCTAACTTTAAAGATCTGAAATTGCTAAGAAAATGAATTTTGGCCCAAAAAAATTTGAAATTTGAAATTTGAAATTAAAAATACCTGAAAAAACTGAATTTTAAGTAAGATTTTGTAAAAAGTTTTCACAAAAAAGTGATATAAAGTCCAAAAGAGGTAGTGTGTTAAAATTTGATTTCGCTAGGGCTTTAGGATCATAAAAAGTCATCAATCTAAACGCGTTAATGCAAATATTGTATTTAGATGTTTTTTTAAAAGCTTAGAGTGACAAGAAGCAGTTAGTAAAGAAATAGAAAAAGAAATATAATCAAATCAAATCTTAATAGGCGCCTCCAATCTTTTGCTCTCTATGTAACTTTTTCGTGAAAACTTTTTTATAACATAGAGTCCTATTTCTTCGACAAAGGCCTACATCAACAAAGGCCTACATCGGCAAAGGCCTACATCGGCAAAGGCCTACATCGGCAAATGCCTACATCAACAAAGGCCTACATCGGCAAAGGCCTACTTCGGGAAATGCCTACTTCGGGAAATGCCTACATCGACAAATACCTACATCGACAAATACCTACATCGACAAAGGCCTACATCAACAAAGGCCTACATCGGCAAATGCCTACATCAGCAAATGCCTACATCGACAAATACCTACATCAGCAAATGCCTACATCAACAAAGGCCTACATCGACAAATACCTACATCGACAAATACCTACATCGGCAAATGCCTACATCAACAAATACCTACATCATTTTCTAGAAAACGTGACACTTATCGTTTAAGAAAGATGACGGCAATTTTATTTTAAGATTAAGCAATTGTTGAGCATTTTTCCTTCGCAGTATAATGGGGATTGGTGGAAAAAATTTCGCTCGCTACTGTGCTCAAAAATCTTGTAAACACACCAATTGGTCTGGATTTTTGCATACCGGAAATTCAGACTTACAACGCTTCAATGAAATCGATGGTCACCTGGCATAAATATGGATGTGCACCGTTGGAGAAAGGAAGCGACGCCTCACATCTTACGGTAACATTTTCTTTTTTTTTTCTAAACCATACCCTTTTCTCTTTTTTACCCTAATCTTGTCTTTATTTACAGGGTGACTGAAAATTACGTGCGCCAAAGAAAACGCCATAATTTAATTTTCTTTCAAAGAAAGTGTAAAAATCTTTATTTATATAATAGTTGTAACAAAAGCATTTAATAATTATCTTGTTCAAACTACGATCGTCTTTTCGCTCGATCCTCCTCTTGATGATCCCACGCACCTCCTCTTGATGATTTCGGGTGTTAACGGTCCTCTTTCGTCCTCTTCCGGGCTTGAACTGAACATGCCCCTCATCTTTCCATTGCTTTACGATCTTCTGGACGGTCCTCAGAGCCATCCCAAGCCTCGATGCGATCGACGAGTGCTTCATGCCGCTTGTCGCCAGCTGTGCGATTGCGTCCCTACTAGCGCACGTCTTTGTCTTCGTCTTTGCCTTTGTCATCACCTAGAAAACAACTTTTTTAACAAAAAATTATTAGACAACGATAAAAAAAATATTAAAACACAAAAAGATGAGTAGTAATGCTTTATAAATTGTTTAAAAACGATGATGCTGATGCTGCGCGCACGTAATTTTCAGCCACCTTGTATATGTCGCAGCCGATTAAGGATTTCAGCCGAAGAAGTCTCAGAATTCTTCGGCTAGCCGATTAAGTCTCAAACATGAAATCTTGAGTTATGTATTTACTCAAGTCAATACCACAAACTCAAGCTCTCTAAAAGGCGCTTAAAAGCTAAAAACGCATTCTAAAGAGTGCGCATTTTATCATACTGTAAACAAAGGCTATGAAAGGGCCCTTTTCGCCATTTTCTATCTGATTCGTCATTTATTTGAAATAGAATTGTTTGTTTTTGTAAGTCAATTTGCCCCTTTGTTGGATCATCGATAAAACTTATTTACCACTAATCTGTTTATAATCGAACATAACCCCTTATTTCAATCCTATTTTTTCTTTTTGTTACTGTGCATTTTTTGTTTAAGCTACACTAATTTCTGTTGATCGTTAACCGGCCAAAGAGCTCCTCGTTCTTGACGACTTTCTTAGGTTTGTCCAAATTGCCTTTGATCCCATGATTGTAAAGCACCTCTTGATTCAATTCAAGAGAGAATAGCGCTACAAGTTTTTAGTTTTTAGCGCCTTTTAGAGAGCTTTTAGAGAGCGTTTTTAGCTTTTAAGCGCCTTTTTGAGAGCTTGAGTTTGTGGTATTGACTTGAGTGATTTCATTTTTGAGACTTAATCGGCTAGCCGAAGAAGTTTGAGACTTAATCGGCTAGCCGAAGAAGTTTGAGACTTAATCGGCTAGCCGAAGAAGTTTGAGACTTCTTCGGCTGAAATCCTTAATCGGCTACGACATATATAAAATCTATCGACTTTTTAAAAAAAAATTCTTTTTGGATTTAAAAAGGAATCAAAAAATTGTAAAAATTGGATAGATTTAATAAAAAAAAATAGACAAGATTACGGTAAAAAGGACAGGATTTAGAAAAAATGATGGATTTATGGATTTATAGATTTATAGATTATTAGAATCTTTTTTTTTAGTGTCATAATGCTGCCCACTATCGCGCTAAAGGTATCGCTTGTTGTTATGAGGGAAATTATTGTAATCTCCACATTGAACCCTTGCCTTATACAAAAATATCGACAGATTTCGAAGACGAGGAATACGGTAGGGGTTCTTGACGAATAAAATAAAATAAAAATCGAGTTACCTTTCAGATTTCAATGAAATAACCCTTTCATCATTTTCCAAATTCTTCTTTCTCAAAGCTTTCTTCATATTTTTTGCAATGAGTTTATTGATTTTCATTTTTATTTATATCACTCGTTTGTGGGGATTCAAAAAAAGTAAGTTTAAGAAATCTATTATTTGGAAATCTAGAGCTTCTAGAAAAAGAAAAATCAAAGGAGGATTTAATGGAGAAACAACCGATGCTTGGGATCGATGATTCGGGGTCGGATTTTGAATTGAAAAGAATATTCAGCTCTTACTGAGTTCTGGGTATTTTGAACGAGTGGTCGCATTGAAAGCATTGAAACAAAAACACAAGAATAGCCGCTTAGCTTTTGCTCAAACAAAAATGGTCAAAAATTGGACGAGAAGAAATGGAAACTTGATGGTCCTGGAGAGATCTACGAAAGGATTCGATTTATTTTAGGACAAGGCACTTTAGAGGAGGTATTATAATGTGCTGGGCTGGCTTTTGTGCTGACGGACAAGTCGATTTGGTAGATCGTTTCTAATCGAATGACTGGATTACACGAATGTTTTGGACACCGATCTGCTCCCATTTTTGGCTCAGAATCCCCAAGTAAATCACGATTTCCAGCAGGAAAATGCTAGCATTCGTAAAGCCAATCATACCGAGAAGAAATGGATGACGGCTAATGGATTGATTTCGATGAATTGGCTAAGTCGATCGCTTGAGCTCAACCTCATTGAGAACTTTTGGGGCATCTTGGCTTGGAAAGTTTACAAAAACCGACCCAGTTTGCTTTTAGAAGTTAGAAGTTGCCTCTTTTAGAATGTTAGTGTTTTTATAACGTTTATAATGCTTTCAAGTTTTCAAGCTACCTCGTAAATCGAGCTTCAGCAATGATAGATAAAAGATAGATAAAACAATTATAGATAAAGTAGATATTCAGTTCACGTAACTCTGCAGATTTTTGGTGCTAGTTCAATCGTTGACAAGACTTTCGTTCTTTCCTTTCCACTCACCGATTATTGTGCTGTTGTGTGGATCGGATTGGTTGCAAACCGACGCCAGTTTTTATCTGTTGCTGATCTTAAATTCGCTATTCGGCTTGTTTGAAACAATTTGGATTAAAACGTTTTACAAAACCACATTTCTTCAATGCCAAAACGATAATCCAGTTCAGGAAAATCGGAGCCAACTTTAAGCAAATGAAGGCTGATCCAACTCGGGTGTCATTTCACCTTGTTTGCATGGAAATGAAAAATCCAATCAAGCTCTATTTGGTATTATTTGAAAGGCTGAAATGTGCTCTATAAAATGATATAAAAAGTTAAATAACAAAATTATCTCTGGAAAAAGTGATAGCCCTTCAAAGCGTGATGACTCGTTTAAAATACCCGGAAACTGTGCAAGAGCCGAATATTCTTATTCTAATTGTGATTAATAATGTTTTATCGTATTTGAAATCATTGTATTTAAGTATTTAAGTATTTAAAATACATTTATAACAAAATTTTCTTTTCTAGAAGCGGTTCCGGGTCTGGGATGTGCTCGTTAAACGAAAGAACTGTTGCACAAGATTTGAAGATTATTAAGGTAAACACCAAGGAGTTGGTGCACTGAAAATAAACGAGATTAAGGTCTAGGGTTTTTATAGAGCTTTTCTAGAGCTTTTCTAGAGTTTATTTAAGAAAATTTCATCGATAATTGAATCCCAGGATCATCAATTTCTTTTACAAATTCGTAGCTTGAAATTTAGGATTTAGGATCTAGTCTTTTAAGTTATAATACTTATATTATAATATTATATTATTATCTTTTTATGTTATAATACTTATTGTAAAGTTAAAATAGAGCGAACTTGAGCGATTAAACATCAAAATAAAAAGAAAAGATTAGAGAGGGATCGAACCTGAGTAAAAGCTGGATAGCTTGTTTTCGAGACAAGGTCCTTATCCACTACACCATAAGGCCAGATGCTTGGGGTGGCAAAAGAAACCTTGTGACTTTCCCTTGTTGGAAAAGAGGGGAAGACGGGATTGGGGGTATTTACCGTAAATACTGTAATAGTACCCCACCCCCATAATGACGGTGCGGAGCGTTGCGTAGTCTAGCTTTGAACGAGTTTTTCTCGACACTGGTTTATGCTACAATATCCGCTTAGGTATCAAAAAATAGCCCTGAATTTCAGCTATTTTTTCATACCAAATACGCTTTTTTTTGAAAGTACGGGCGCTTTGAAAAATTAAATACAAAAAAATTTTTGCGACTACGCGACTGTACGTGGGCGGTGGGGTACTATAACAGTATTTACGGTAACTGTATCAAAGCGTTTTTCAAACGAATCACTTAACTTTTCAGGTGATCGATCAGGGACGATATGGAAAAGTTCGAACAGCCGAGTATAGAGGAAGTCTTGTTGCTGTGAAAGTAGGTCAAAAATTGAAATTCAGAATTCTAAAGACATAAATCAGACTTTCAACACAACTGAGGAGGATTCGTGGAAGAATGAGAGAGATGTCTATCAGACACAAATGTTGAATCATGAATGCATTCTACGTGAGTCGTTTTTTTCTAGAAATTAGCTCTTTCGGTTCTGATGAGTGTGCTAGAAAGGGTGCGTTTGCTAAAAAAACAAAGAATACTGGAAAACAATCACCGAATTTTATTAGTGTCGCTTTTTCAGAATTTGTCGCCGCTGACATCAACAGTGAAGACTCGATTACGCAGGTTTGGCCTTGAAAAGAGATTTTAGAGTAGATTAGAGATGAAAAGAGTAGATTTTTGATTTCCTCGAGATTCAACGGTTAAAATTGAATTTTTAGATGCTTTTGATTACGGATTATCACGAGCTTGGCTCACTTTACGACTATTTAAGACGGGAAAACGATTTGGATTTGAGAGAGGCGATTGAATTGGCATATAGGTAAAAACGCGATTATAATTATTCTCTTTTTATTTAAAGCAAGTGATTTACCAGCTAGTTATTCATTTATAAACGTAAATTTCAAAAAAGCGGATAAGCCTTTCTAATTTTTCAATCATTTTCCCAAGAAAGTAAAAATCTGGGCGGGTCTGGGGATCGAACCACGGAGCCCACGCACCCAAAGCGAGAATTATACCACTGGACCAACTTGCCTTGCGAGAAAGAAGCCATATAAAGGGTGAAGTGAGGGCTAAACAAAAAAATCGGCCAGCCGGGGGATCGAACCCGGGACCCCTCGCACCCAGAGCGAGAATTACACCACTAGACCAAAGAGCGGAGGCAGGGAGATGGGAAAAAAGCCTTATAAAGGATGGAAGGAGGGTTGAACAAAAAAAATGGAATTATTGAACCCGGGACCTCTAGCACCCTAAGCGAGAACTAGACAAACCAGCCTGCCGAAATGATGAGAAAGAAGCCTTATAAAGGATGAAAGGAGGGCTGAACAAAAAATGGAGCTATTCCGTGGATTGAACCAGGGACCTCTAACATTCTAAGCGAGAATCATACCACTAGACCAACCAACCTGGCGAAATGATGAGGAAGGATGGAAGGAGGGTTGAACAAAAATTATTCCGTGGATTGAACCCGCCCGGGATCTCACTCTAAGCAAGAATGATACCACTAGACCAACAAGACCAACTGGTCGGGCTAAAATCGGGGAGATGTTTCGGGTGAATGTCGAAAAGCTGGTTTTAGCGTCAAAGAAAGAGTGATTTTTCAATTTTCAGTTCAATCTCCGGTATCGATCATCTTCATAACTCAGTTTTGGGGACAGGAAGTCGTCGAAAGCCGGAGATAGCTCACAGAGATTTAAAGGTTTATTGGATTTAAGTAACTCGAGAATTTCTTTTCAAGAAAGAGAACGGTGCTTTTTTTAATCTGATTGCCTTTTAGAGCAAGAATATTATTGTGAAACGTCCTGGTTTCTGCTGTATCGCTGATTTTGGATTAGCCGTTCGACTGTGAGTGTTTAGCGTAATAATACCGTAGCTTTAAATAGACGAGTTTAAATAGACGAGTTTAAATAGACAGTTTTTTTCAAGTTTACTCTAAGATCTAAGCCTTTTTTTATCCTAAAAAGTCATCTTTATATCGTTAAAAACGACTTTTATTAAAGTTTTTTAGATATTACCCTAAAGTCGCGAGTATAAGTTCTGTTTGGTTTTCGCATGCAAATTGACGGCTGTCTCCGGTGCGGTGTGTCGAGGGTTCGAACCCCGCTGCAGCATAACTTTTTTGCTTTTTAAGAACAATAATAGAAGTAAATTTATTGAGGGTTATAGCAATTTTATGCTGTTATTTGTTGCTTCGGGCGTGGCTCGGCGCGTCCGCCCTGATCCTCTCCAGTGCTCAGTCTTATGGATCCCTCCCTGGCCTCTTCATTCAGCCAAAGTGCACGTCGACGGTCGAAAGAGATGCTTTCCAGCGTCTTCTTCAACACTATCGTCTGGATATATCCATAACGAATAGCAATGGTGATAGGCTGTGGTGACGGTGTGGAGAGCTGCGTAGTCTAGCTTTGAACGAGTTTTCCTCGACACTGGTTTATGCTACAAGGCGCGCTTAGGTATCAAAAAATAGCTGAAATTCAGGGCTATTTTTTGATACCAAAGACGATCAATGGTGATCACCCTGTAGTTTCCCGCGCTCCAAGAACAATAATAAAAGTTTATATAGCAATAAAAATGTATAAAAGCCCAACAAAAAGAAATTCAAAGCAATTAAAGCGAATGTAAATTAAGGCAAAACTTATACTCGAGACTTTAGGGTAAATTGAAAAGAAAAGATGTTTTAAAGAGAAAATTCACCTTTTTACAGTGAAAACAACAAAATTATGCCAGAAAAAGTGAACATTCAAGTTGGCACGAAGAGATATATGGCACCAGAGGTTTCTTTTTAACTACTTACACTTCTTTACACTTCCTGACTTACTTCCTTACTCATTTCCTTACTTATTGCCTTACTTACCTTCTTACTTCCTTCCTTACTTATTTGCTTACTTATTAGGTTGATGCATAAGTGTTTTTGTTCCTTTTCGTCTGCCGTTTCAAGCCAACAAATGCACGAATTAAACTACGGTTGATTTCATTAGAAAAAGCAATTATTTCTCTGCAAAATAACATTAAAACGGGTTTAAAAATATTTAATGCCTGGATTTTCTTGAGAGTATGAAGTCGGGTAGTCAAAAAGGGCTAACTCGATGATGCGGTTTAGGCTCAGGCTCAGGCTCAGGCTAAGCCTCAGCCTAAGCCTGAGCCTGAGCCTGAGCGGTTTAGACACCTTAGCTAAAGAAAACCTATCTTCGTGTCAATAGATAAAAGATAGAGAAAAAAAAACGTTTGATATTTCGCCAAAATTTCAGAGAAATTCATTCAGCCAATTTTTCCGTAGAGTTTTTTATAGATTTTTACGAAAAAGGCGTTTTTCACTCTCGAATTTGCTTCAAAGTGAACCGAAATTCATTTAAAAAGATGCAAATTGAACAAAAAAACACTTTTTTTGATAGAGCAAACTATAGATTAATTCGTGAATTTGTTACTTTTTAACAGAAGTACGAAAAAAACGAAAACACTTATGCATCAACCTATTATTTCCTTACTTCCTTACTTACTTCCTTGCAAAACAATTACTTTAGCTGCTTTCGAAAGAACTCAACATAAATGTTTTCGAGGAGTTCAAACGCGCCGACATCTATTCGTTCGCGTTGGTGATGTGGGAGATCGCGAGAAGTGTTTGTTTCATTGGACAGACAGACAGTCAACACTTGCAATATCATTACAATAATATTCAAAGCTATGAACATAACTTTAGAATCAGTTGCAGATGCAGATCAGTTGCAAACTTCTAAAAAATTTCATTTTTTCAGTGTCCCCATCCGTGTGGTCGATCTTCTGAGGCACCAAAAGATGCAAGCCTTTCAGCAGGTGAGTCAAGCAGCAAGTCAGCTACTAGACAGATTAGGAAAAGCACTTATAAGACAAAATATTTCTGTACTAACTCTTGCAACTCTAAAGTTTAAGAAATTTGAATGTCAATGAATTCTTACTATAATGGCTTAATTTTAATAAATAGCTTGTTTGCTTACTGCTTTAAAAACACTATAACAGTGTTTTTCGGAAATTTCTCAAAAAAGCGAAAAGCTAGCCGCCAGCGGAATCGAACCGGCAAGCCTAGGTTTTAGAGTCACTATCCCCCAGACCACCGCTCCCTTGATTGCTTTCGACATGACGCCTTCTTATAGATGAGGTCGCGGTTTGCGTAGCTAATTGGACTTGGTGCTTTTATGGGTTGGGGAATACAAAACATGATCGGGAATCGAACCCACGACCTCTGCTTACCAGGCGAACCTTACCAATGAGCTTACCTGAGCTTACCAATAAGCTTACCTGAGCTTACCTGAGCTTACCAATAAGCTTACCTGAGCTTACCAATGAGCTTCCCAATGAGCTTCCCAATGAGCTTACCAATAAGCTTCCCAATAAGCTTACCAATAAGCTTGCCAATGAGCTTACCAATGAGGTACACCGACTGCTTTACTTCTTTTCAGATTCGGGTCTTGGTGCTTCAGCAAGCAACTCGTCTTCTCTCTCAAAACTTTACGAGTGTCCGTTTGAGGGAATGGTCAAATCGGATCCATCTCTCGAAGAAATGAAAGTGATTGTTTGTGACATGAACTATCGACCTGAGATCCCCGCATTTTGGAGGAATCCTATTGAGGTCGGTTCTTTATGCTTAAAGCCACATCTTACACCATCTGGTGCAATAAAATCCCTGTTTTTCTCGCGTTGCTGGGAGAAAATAAATTTGGTGTGTAAGAAAGGCGTTTGAGTACAAAGTAAAGTACAAAGTAACGTACAAAGTAAGTTTTTAGGAACCCGAGCTCAATCGTTATTCCCAATTGATAATCGATTGTTGGAACGGGCATCCACATCGACGGCATACAGCATTGAAAGTGAAAAAAGTGTTGAGCGGGATTCTCGGGAATCTTTATACGAGTCAAGTAAGTCAAGTTGAATATCTTTTCAAATACTTACCTTTTAAAATGTAATAGTACCGCACCCCGATAATGACGGTGCAGAGTGTTGCGTAGTCTAGCTTTGAACGAGTTTTTCTCGACACTGGTTTATGCTACAATGCTCGTTTAGGTATCAAAAAATAGCTGAAATTCAGGGTTATTTTTTCATACCAAATACGCTTTTTTTGAAAGTACGGGCGCTTTGAAAAAAATGAAATACGAAAAAACTTTTGCGACTACGCGACTGTACGAGGCGAGTGGGGTACTATTACAGTATTTACAGTAGGTATAATGTTAGTTGTTTCGAAGGGAAATTGGCTTTAGAAAAAACATACCGTAAATACTGTAATAGTACCGCACCCCGATAATGACGATGTGGAGAGTTGCGTAGTCTAGCTTTGAACGTGTTTTTCTCGACACTGGTTTATGCTACAATGGGCGCTTAGGTATCAAAAAATAGCTGAAATTCAGGGCTATTTTTTGATACCTAAACGCGCATTGTAGCATAAAGTAGCGTGGAGAACGGGATGTTTCAAATTAGACTACGTAACCATCCCGAAAAAGCGCGTTTTTCTCGACACTGGTTTATGCTACAATGCTCGCTTCGGAATCAAAAAATAGCCCTGCATTTCAGCTATTTTTTTGATACCAAATACGCTTTTTTTTGAAAGTACGGGCGCTTTGAAAAAAATGAAATACTAAAATACTAAAAAATTTTTGCGACTACGCGACTGTACGAGGCGGGGAGTGGGGTACTATTACAGTATTTACGGTAATAAATTAAAAGCTCAACTTTTTAGGGCACAAATCTCAATAAAGGTTTCATCCCATGCAAGAAAGAATCCGACAGTGGAATTGGGAGTAATGGATCGTCAAAAGAACGTCCGATTTTACCAGTGTCATTCATTCAACAAGTTTAATTTCAATTTTGATTTGATTTTGTGTTAATAAATAACTTATAAAGATAGATAAAGACAACAGAAACAAAAGAAATCAATAATTTAGCCGTTTTCTTAGATTTTTCCTTTGTAGAAAGTTGAATTTGTAAAAAAATAGCCAGATTTTTCTTGATTTCAAAAATGAACACTTATCTATCAAGGCCAGATGGTCGGGAAACGGCAAAGAAAGAAAAGAAAGCGAAAATCGTTAACAATGATCTCCATCGGATCTGGCCAGTTAAAACGGGCCCCCATATGTAAAGGCACTGTCCCAGACAACGAGCGATCACAGCCACACAGCCACAAAGAACTCAATCATTTAAAGATCTCTTCAGGGGATCAGGGAGTTGCCAGATGGTTGGGAAAGGTCGAAGAAATCGAAAACTATCAACAATGATCTCCATCGGATCTGGCCAGTTAAAACGGGAGCGCCAGAGCTGGCCCGGAAACGGGCCCCCATATATAAAAGCCCTGCGCCAGACAACGAGCGATCATAGCCACATAAAGAGCTCAATCATTTAAAGATCTCTTCAGGGGATCAGGGAGTTGCCAGATGGTCAGGAAAGGGCGAAGAAATCGAAAACCATCAACGATGATCTCCATCGGATCTGGCCAGTTAAAAAGGGAGCGCCAGAGATAGCCAGGAAACGGTCCGGAAGCCTTGCGCCAGACGACGAGCGATCACAGCCACACAGCCACAAAGAACTCAATCATTTAAAGATCTCTTCAGGGGATCAGGGAGTTGCCAGATGGTCAGGAAAGGTCGAAGAAATCGAAAACCATCAACAGTGATCTCCATCGGATCTGGTCAGCTAAAAAGGGAGCGCCAGAGCTAGCCAGGAAACGGGCCCCCATATATAAAAGCCTTGCGCCAGACGACGAGCGATCACAGCCACACAAAGAACTAAATCATTTAAAGATTCTCTAGATGTATCTAGATTCTCTCTAGAATCATTTAAAGATTCTCTAAAATAAAGATCTTCAGGTGTAAATTTGTTACTGGGATTTGCATGATCAACGAATCGATTGAAGCTATTCATTTTATTGAGTTTACCAATTGAAACCTGGGTTTAATTGGTTTGGTTTAAACTTTTAAATAGACTTGAAAGTTTATTTTCTTAGCCTCTTCACATTTATTGACAGCAAAACACTTTTCCTTTAACATTTCACGTTGTTTCCCCTTTTCCCGTGCCCTTTCTACCGTAGCTTTCTTCAATTTCCGTTTCGAGACCCATTCTCTAGGCAAATTCCATTTATTTTTGCTTTTTTAAACATTTATTCCTTTTTATATTTGATTTTCATTTAAAATTTGTAGAAAATAGAGAAATTGTTATGAAAAATGAAAGATTTTGCGTTGTTGATGATTTAAAAGCAACAAAAACTTTGATATGTTTCTTTTTTTTGGTTAAAACTAAATCTTTTACTATTCATTCCGTCTCAAACGATTTGTACTTATCAATTGAATATTTAATTATTGAATTCATTTAAATGAATTCAATAAAATGAATTCAATTAAATAAATTCAATTAAATGAATTCTGATAAATGAATTCTGATTTGAATTGAATAGAAAATTTTCTTTGAGTTTTGAGAGAGTCCAATAGTCTCGAAACCTTTCAATTATCTGTAGATGATCTTGATCTTGTAGCTCTAGTGGACCTTGAGCTTGATCTTGTAGCTCTAGTGGATCTTGAGCTTGATCTTGTAGCTCTAGTGGATCTTGAGCTTGATCTTGTGGCTCTAGTGGATCTTGAGCTTGATCTTGTAGCTTTAGTGGATCTTGAGCTTGATCTTGTAGCTCTAGTGGATCTTGAGCTTGATCTTGTAGCTTTAGTGGATCTTGAGCTTGATCTTGTAGCTCTAGTGGATCCTTGACGTTATCTGTGCTACCCATATATTACATACATTATATCGTGTGGCTTTTATCGGCTTTTTATCGGCCTAAAAGGACTTAAAAGGACCGGCGTATTCAGCTGGTACTGTGTTTCACTACATTATGCTACAATATTCAGCAAACAAAACAGTTTTTCTACCAGTGAAGCGGCAGGTCATGGGTTCAAATCCCGGCGCCGACCATTTTTTCCATTCCCAGCTTTAACCTAACCTTATCTTGATCTTGAAGTTCTTCCTCAAGTCCTGAATAAAGTATCTATCTATATATATATATTAGGTAAAACATGGGTGCCTACAAGTATATGCAGGAGTTATGGCGAAAGAAACAATCGGAAGCGATGCGATACTCGTTGAGGATTCGATGCTGGCAATACAGGTTTGCATTTGGGGAATAGAAATAGAGATAGAGATAGAAATAGAAATAGAGAAATAGAATAGAAATAGAAATAGAATAGAAATAGAATAGAAATTGATATTGATAATCTAAAAAAAATTTAAGGAGTATTTATTTTTTGAACAATTTAAAGTCACCTCTAGTTTTGAAAGTTGTTGAAATGGCTTGAAAGCTTTTGAATTCTTTTCCAAATTTGACCAAATGAGATTTGACTCTAGAATTGATCGAATATCTAGCTGAATATCTAGCTGAATATTTGAATATTTGAATATTTGAATGCATAGAATAATTGAATATCTTTTAAAATAACCTCGCAAACGAATTTTAATCTTTTTTACTTCTTTTTCTAAAGACAAATACTAGTTTTCCATCGAATCGACCAGCTTCTCTTTGAATTTTTCTCAGATGAAAGGCCTCTTTTCGTTTAGTTTAAGGAAAGATTTAAATGGAGAACTTAAAAGATAACTTTGATAATTCTTTACTATTTATTTTCTAGTTGAAATTGATGAGAATTAGGTTTTTCTTTCAGACAAATGTCTGGCATTCACCGCGCTGGCATTCACTAGAAAACTAGACAACTAGAAAACTAGATAACTAGATAACTAGATAACTAGATAATGATTGTTTTTCAGACAAATGTCTGGCATTCACCGTGCTCCCCGACCCACCCGGCCCGAGAAGGCTCGTCGTCTCGGATACCGTGCCAAGCAAGGTGAGCTAAAAAATTACACTTTCAAAATATCTAATCTTTTAAAATGTACTCAAAAGTTGATTATCTAATTGTTTACCGTATTGATTTGATGAGGAAAGGGCCAAAGCAAAGTGAGCAAGAGTTTTCTTGTAGTTTTCTTGTAAAATCAAAGTTACCCCAATGCTCTATGTTTGGCTCTGTGGTATTTGATCAAAAAACAAAAGCCAGAAACCGCTGAACCTTTAGCCGATTGGTTAAGCGTCAAGTCGTTAAGGGACAAACGTACGGAAAACCGAAAACCCATGGAGGTTTTCGTGTGGTATTTGATCAAAAAACAAAAGCCAGAAACCGATGAACCTTTAGCCGATTGGTTAAGAGTCTTCTATCTTTATAGTCTAAAGGTCAAGGGTTCAATCCCGCTCGCTTTAATTATTGGTTTTTTGCCATAGATTTTTCCCTAAATTTAGCTTAAAGATTTTGTATTGTGAATTTATTTGTATTTTTAAAAATTCTAGGCTACGTTGTTTACCGTGTTCGCGTTCGTCGTGGTGGTCGAAAGCGTCAAGTCGTTAAGGGACAAACGTACGGAAAACCGAAAACCCATGGAGTGAACGAATTGAAAAATCAACGAGGACACCAAGCTGTTGCTGAGGTGAAGATTTTTTAAACACACGTTTTCTAGCGAATTGCTATGAGAAAAATGAAGACTTTCTTGTAGGAAAGGGTTTTTTTGAAGGGGAAACAGGTTTACAGGGGCTAAGGTTAACAATTAGCGTCTAATTGAAAGCAAGAGCTTTTATAGAAGTTGGATATTGGATCCAAGTTGGATATTAGATCCAAGTTCAATACTGGATACTGTTCTAAATTAGAATTTCATTTACTTGCATAAATTTAAGCAAGAATTCGTTTAGCAATCCGAGCTAGATTTCTATTCTAAATTACAATTTTAGTTACAATAGTCTTAAAAGCAATCCAAATTCGAAAAGCAATAGAAAATAAAAGCAGATAAATGTTAATTTGAATAAGCTCTTGATTCTAGTGCCGTGTCGGTCGTCGTTGCGGTGGTTTGCGCGTGCTTTCGAGCTATTGGATCGGTCAAGATTCCACTTACAAATTCTTCGAAGTGATTCTCGTCGATCCAGCTCATAAAGCAATCCGCCGAAACCCTGACACTCAATGGCTGACAAAAGCCGTTCACAAACACAGAGAGATGCGCGGTTTAACCTCAGCTGGAAGAAAATCCCGTGGACTCGGCAAAGGACATCGATTCTCAGCCACTCGCGGTGGATCACAGGTTAGCTTTCGATAAAGACGATAGACGAAGACGATAAAGACTAGACAATTGACTAGATTCCAACATTAGAAATCATTCTTTAACTACATTTCAATCAAAAGCTCAATCAAAAGCTCAATCAAAAGCTCAATCAAGGCCCAATCAAGGCCCAATCAAAAGCTTAATCAAAAGTCACAGTTTATTGTGAACAGGGCAACTTTTAAGTCTGTTGCCTTGTTGCCTTTTAAGACTGTTGCCAATGTTGCCTTGAAATGTCAAAAGGTTAAAGAAAAGTTAGAAAAGATCGATTAGATTAAGGTGATGAGCTTGTAGAAAAGAATTCACCGACTGTAATTGAAGAATTAAGCGTTTACAGATAGTTTAAAATAAGTCCATTACAATTGAAGGATTAAGCTTTTAAAGATAGTTTAAAATAAGTAGAAGATTTTCTAAACTCTCCTTTTTTTTCAGGCAAAGAATTGGCTCCGCAAAAACACGAAAGTTCTCCGCCGCAAACGTTAAATTCCATTTCATTGTTGTGTTTATTTGCTTTTTTTATGACAATAAAGTTATTGTTGACTCTAAAATTTGGGTTTTTTTTTGGTTAAAACAAAATTGAAAAGTATTTGAGGAAAATCGAGTGGACTAAAATGACTTTTGACTAAAGTAACGCGTTTTTTTTTCTTCTATTACGTTGATGCAAAAGTCTTTTTCATTTTTTTCGTACTT